ATGTAGTCGTATGTTGTCTATATAGTCGTAGGTCGTATGACGGTCGTCTGTGTGGGTTCTCGTGGTTCATATATGTGTCACAGCGCATGCGTAGTTTGAAACAACCTTCACTTACCTCGAAACTTCAGGAACTGGCATCAGTCAAGTCTGGGTTGACTTCGCTTCTTAAACTCGTGAACTTGATAGAAACGGGACAACTTAAGACGTAGTTCAGTAGGTAAGTAATTCTAACAAAATACCTAAGTAATAACTGTTAGTGTTTTTTGGGGAATGTTGAACCTTTTTTGGCCCGTGCTGCTGGCATATGACCGAGGATGACGTGTATGACCTATACATGGAAAGGAAGAACCGCCATTGGGGAAAAACAAACCTGTTCACGGTCAAATAGTTTTACATTGTGTACGCAACGAAATGAACAAGGGAACGGGTTATTTCTAGTAGTCAGACATTGTACTTTTATCTTTGCAGAATACAGTCTAGTGCGAGTCCAACAAACTGTGAGACACGTTAGTGCATGTAATTGTGGGGTTGTCCATTTCTGGGTTGCAAATTTCAGCTGCTTTGAAACATGGACACATCGACGGTGGAATCTGCGTCCGAAGTGACGACGCCAGTGTATATCGACTGCAGCGCCCTCAACTTGAGCCATGGAATGTCGCCGCCACCTCAGTGCATGCACGGACCACCGCAGAACCTAGTTATTGGGAACCAAATAAACATGACCTTGACATTGGTTATTATGATGTTTGGTATGGGTTGTACAATCACACTTGAAAGTATGAAATGCGTGCTGACTAGACCTATTGGGCTAGTTATTGGTTTCGTGTGTCAGTTCGGGTTGATGCCTCTGATTGGCTTTGCCCTGGCACACGCCTTTGATTTGTCACCCGTGTTGGCGGTCGGTACTATCGCTATTGCGTGCTGCCCTGGTGGTATCAACTCCAATGTGTTAACATACTGGACAGATGGGGACACTGCTCTGAGGTAAGACATCTCATTGGTGCGCAGCCATAGACAAGAACATAAAAATTAGACACATTGCCTTGGATATTATCACGAACAGAAAAAAAAATGAACGGAACGACGTCTATTGACGCTAACACCATACAGACACAACTATAAGACCATAGGTTAAGACGTTTGCAATTGTAATTTAAATATGTCTAATTTATTCAGTGC